CACCAGTCAGTGTTGATAGCTTAGAGTCCAAGAATGGCACAGTTATTAAATGGAAATAGGGTACAGAGTCACCTAAGGTATTAAATATCACCTGAATTAATGCATGCTATGGATCCATAGCTAATTCAAGAGCTGAGCTGTTCTTGCCTCATGGTTGCAATTCTCTTCCTACCTGCCTGTGTTACAGACTCAGAAATCCTTGCCTGCAGTTGTGTGTCTGCACCAAGAGATGGTGCTCACAGATCAGGATTGGGAGCCTGTGTGCTCATCCTAACAGGGTGCTGTGCTGGGTGGGCATTTGGGAAACAGCTCTGTGGTTTGGTTGGCACAGATTCCCACTCTGCCCTGTGAGGTGATGCAGGTTCTCTCCTACTGCTGCCTGACACAGTTCTGGTAACTGGAGATAGTGCTTGCAGAGGAAAAGTGATTAATACTCCGAGGTTTTAATTCTTTATAAAATATGGTGGTGTGCATGTATTGTCCCTAACAGGGTTTGGGAATATCCATAGTAAAAAAGTACTTATTTTTAGAGCCACAGTGGTACCTGAGGTCTGTCTCCATTGCACTTCTGGACCAGACTCTGAAATCTTTAATTAGTCCCTGTGTGCAGCAAGTGCCTTTTAGTGAGAGTGCTGTGGGATGGGAGTGAAGAGGCTCATCAGATTTCTGTCTGTGTCCAAATCACCCTGCCACTCCTGTGACTGCTGGGCTTGCTGCTGGTGCTTTTCCCCCTTCCTTTGCAAAACGGTGCCAGAACTTCTCTGCAGCAGCAAGGGCACCACAGTTGGTCACGTAGATGGGCCTTGAACCAAGAAGTTTTTGACCATGCTTGTATGAACGTTTTAGTTTAGCCTAAGGGCACTCTGAAAGTAACGGGCATTTATAAATTTGATTTTTCTAGTGGCAGCTTGTTAGTAGTGTTAGTTCTGTGCCTATTAATGGGCTGAGTTTCAGTTTTTTTAAATGCCTGAAATAGGAAATCTATTGTAATACGTTCTTGTGGGGTTTCAAGTCTGACTTGTGTTATAAAACATAATCAAACATTAAAAGCAGATAGTAGGAAATGAAAATAGTGCATGGCCTTTTTGATCTCCAAAGGTAGTGTTCATTTTTGTGGCACAAAGCTCATGTCCTCACCTCCTGTCAGTACTCTCGATGTTCAGCTGCTCTGTGAATTATTTTTTAATTAAGTCTTTTCCTGTAGTGACCTCAGCACTGCACATTGCAGGTAGACATGGCTGAACAAACGACCTTCCCTCCTAAAATCAGTCTTCCTCTGTGGAAACACTGTGTTGATTTCAGTCTGCTGTTTGTGAGTCAGGTTAATTAAGGTGTGGGGAAGCTGCAGTGAAAACTGTGTGTTACCAGTAACGAGTCAGAGCTTTTGATCCCTGTGCCTGTTGCTTTGATCCTTTCTTCTTGACACTTTGCAGGATGGCTGTTGCTAAAATTCAGGGTTGAAGTTATTTATCACTCAGAGCCAACTTGCCCAGTGTAATGCAGTAAGTTTGGGTTAGATTTTCCTTGCAAGGTTTGTTTGCCCACTGCAAGATACAGTTTTTCTTTCTGTGCTTGCCACTTCAGAGGTTGATTTGTCTCTTGAGTGGGGAGGGATATCATGCTCCTTAATCCATCCCAACTCATGCTCTTTTCCTTCTGTGATTAGGAGACTGCACTGAAGGGAAAGAAACTTTGAGAACAAGAGGAAAAAAAGAGTGTGGCAGCAATGATTTGTAGTGAGTTAAAGCTGTAACGTGGTGTTACATCACTGTTCTAAATTTAATTCAAGTCTTAGTATTTAAAAAGGAAGAGTGGTTTACGAAAATGTGAGATAACAGTGACTTAATCTTCCTTCATGACTTCAAGATTGCATTACGTTAGGAGTCCTATAGAGAAATGTGGAAACTGGAGTTGTTTACAGCCTTCTACAAGCTCCTTCTGGGCCTGCATGGAGGAACTGCTGTTTTGGCTCACGCTCACTTGTAGTAATTTTTGCAGGACCAGCTGTATGTGTGTATTCAAATGCAAAAACCCTGCAAGTGTTGTCCAGTTCCTGTTCCACTGCTGAACTAAGAGCTTTTCACTTTGTAGGGGATTATTTTGACACAGCACAGTCCCAGTGCAGACTGAACAAAGTGCTGAAGGTGGTGGGGGCTGTGGCCTGGCCTGCAGTGAGCAAACCTTACCCCAGTTCAGCTTTTTGAAATGGAGATTCCCCTCTTCTCCTGCCTTTTCTTTGCCTTGTGTTTGTTTGCAGACTCGGTGACTCTGCTGTTGGTTCCTTCCTTCTCACTGAGTGTCAAGTTATGGCTGTGGCTTTTCCTTTACTTTGGCTAAAGGGATGGGGAAGGTGCAAAGAGTGTCTCAGTTCAAGTCTTAAGCATCACCCACGAGACATTTGGTTGTAGGGAGAGGAAATAAATATACAAGCACAATTCTTCCCCCTCCTCCCCCCCCAAACCAAGAGCAAATTCAGTATTTTCCAAGGTTTCTGAGTTACACAGGAGGTTTCCAGGAATGTGGAGCACAAACAGATATGATCAGTCTCCCATGACGAAAATTTATGTGTATTCAATTTATTCAGCACAGCTCAGGATGGGAATCCAGTGATGGATAGGTCGTGCTGACCCTGCATGTCAAACAGATTTAATGTCACATGAATCAGAAGGAGGAAACCTATTTACAGGAAGGTCATGTTTCACTGCCTATTTACTGTTCTTCCAGGATTTCTGTACTGTTTTTACTTGCCTAATTTGTTTTTCTGTCCCGAGTGCTGCAGAAACAACAGCAGGGGGGTGGTTCCTGGGAGTGGCTTCCAAGCACTTGCACAACATGCACCGAAGCCGTAGTCTGAAGAGTCTGGGTGGAGCTCAGGTGCCTTCCCTGTGCCAGGTCATCTGTCAAATACAGGCATGGACAAACAGACTGACTTTAACTGACCAGTCCAGTTACTGGCTCTCCTGGGGTCATCTTGGCTGTATTATGTACCTGGAACTTATTTAACTCATCAAAATCCTTTATCAGGCACCCCAGCCTGCTGTGCCCCAGCCCTCTGGGATCCACAGCAGCTCCATTTTCTCAGAAGTCACACACCAGCCTTGTCCTTTGTCTGCAGGCCCCAGGTTGCATTTCTTGACAGGGATTCTGCATCGTTCTCTTGAGCACACTCGAGAGTTCTGATGTTGATGGCAGAACCGAGATTATTTTCGTACCCAGCAAGTGAGACACAGATGGTTCATGGCATAGATCCATGTGTAAAATTTATCTCCAAACACAGGAGTTGCTGGCACACACCTGGGTTTCTTCTTTGATCAATTCTTCTTTGCAATTGCTCAGGAAAAGCTGTTTTGTGTGGTCTGTGAGCTGAACTGCCCCATACCCAGGGGCATGATTTACTTTTTCTCTGCTTTAACAGCTTGTGGTTCTCTTCTCTAACCACAGGAGCTTCCGCCCTGCCAAAAAACCCCTTGTCTGCTTCACCAGAAAGGGCTCTTGCTGCTGCCTCTGGGTGACCACTGGCACATGGGGATGGGTGATGCTTCCTGGAGCTTTGCACATATGGGCTTTCCTGTTGATTATTCTTCTGTGTAAGCTGGGGATTTTTGTGTGTGTGTTTTGAGGGGGGGGGTTTCCTAATTTTTTTACATTTCTTTTATTCCTCCTTCACAAAGAAAGCCCATTTTTCCTGAGTCTGTCAGAAAGCAGCTGCTGCTGACTTTAATGCCATTTGCTATTGGGGCTGCTACTCAGAGCTGAGTTATGGAAAATGGTTTAGGAACTGGGTTTATTTCTTTGGGCCTCACAGCATGTTAGGGAGTGAGGAAAGGTGCTGTTGGGCTGCTGAGATGTGTGAGGCTCTCTGGTGCTGTGTGATCTGTGCCCTGTGGAGAGTGGGTTGGAGGATCAGTGTGAAGATGCATTGAGGGAGGCAGGAGCCATCCCAGAGCCTCCTGGGTTTGGCACTGGGCTGGGAAGAGACCAGCTGTGTTCTGTGACTCAGAACTACAGGTCAAAAATTAGTAGGTTTCCTGTGCAGCTGTGTTCAGGGGGTTAATTACTGCTGTAAGTGTTGAAATTCTTTTCCTAGATGCTGATTTCCTGTTCAAATGGAGAAGTCTCAAATAACAACAACCAAACAAAAACAAACCTAAAAGGAATAACAAAACGCCCAAACCCAAAGATATCCTGCTTTCAGTTCTTCCCTACATTCATCTGCAGTGTCAGGAGGGCTTTGGCTGCATCGAACTTGCTGCAGGACCACGATCTCAGTGCAGCAATGCACAGTGGAGCATCACTGTTAATAATGCCAGCTAATAATGCCCAAATACGTGTATTTTACATGGCTTAGGTTTTATTTTGATCTGTTAATCCTACAGTAAGATTCCAAGCAGTAGTGAGAATTTTGTTGAACATGTGTTCATCTTATGGAAACACTTTTTGATTTTAAATACCCATATCCTGTTTTTCCCTACAGGATTGACCTCTGTGGGCTCTCTTAGAAATAGGAACAACTCAAAGTATTTTAATCTGTGGATATTGAAAGAATAATGAAAGTATAACATAGTTTACAGGGAGTACAGAAATACAGAGAAACGCTTCTGCTCAGTTTTCTGTTCAGCATTTAACACTAGACATGTAATTCTGGCGTGTGTCACAGTCCACATTCAGCTCCATTCAACGGAGAAAACACATTTTCAAGGAAATGCTTCCCAGGCATAATATGAGGCCTTTTGTGGGGAAACAGCCCCTGATGCCTGCAGTCAGATCATTGCACCTCCTTTCTACACAACCATTTGAAAGAGCTGGAGTGGGAAGGGAAGGGAAGGTCAGCGTGGAAATGTGGAGAGGATTTGCTGGAAGATATGCAGACGGTGATTAATTTAACAGTGGTCCTTCTCCTCCCTTGCCTGTGTCCTGATTATCTGATGCCTCCCAGAGCAGATCACTGGGACATCCATGGCCCTGAGGGACAGGGCTGTGTTTTCAGGCCAGAGGTGGATCTAGAGGGGGTTGTGGTGAGTGTTGCGTTGACGCAGCACGATGGTGATCACCAGGAGCTGGAGGGTCAGGAGGCAGAGGCCTGTTAAGGGGGCCCAGATGAAGATGTGACAGAAGGATTTCAACTCTTCCTGCATTGTTGTCTCTGCAGGAATAAAGAAGGAGAAAGGTCCAGCAGGTGGTCAGGGCTGGTGTCAGGGCCACTTGTGGTGGACCCGAGAGAACTGCCTGGCATTCCACAAGGCTGCTCTTCCAAGTGTGCCCAGGCATGAGACATTCTCCTGCTTTGCACCTTGTCCTGGGCCTTTCCTACTTGGGATAAAACTGTGTAGCGTTCAACGTTTCAAAACCTGCTAAAGCACTGTGGATTTTCCCTCTCCCCCCATCCCTAAATGCCTGCAAGATCCCCCTCAGTATCAGTGGACCTGACCCCAACTCTTCCCCTCTCTCTCCATTTATCCAGCCTACCTGGAGCCAAGGTCTTGATGCAGGGGTCCTTTTCAGTGATGCCATGCTGGGTGGTGGGTCCTGGTGTGCTGGGTGCCAGTGTGGTGGTGACTGTGAGTGAAAATGGATGAATTCAGCATGTGGGGAAATAATAAAACAGGACTCTCCTGACCTTCTGTGCCCAGGGCACAGCTGTTCCTGCGCACAGCGTAGGGCTCATCTCCGGAGGGACTTCACAGAGCCCACTTTGGATGGGGACTCCCCAAGGGAGGGTCTCCCAAGAGCCAGTAAGGAGCTGTAGGCTCCTTGTGTCTTGCTGTCTGCCGCCATCCTCAGAAAGGCTGAACCCTCTGAGTTTTGGGACCTCTGTGTGGTGAGGCAGGAGAGAGAGATGCTGGACTTTGCTTTAGTCTTCTGGTTTCAGAGCCACAGATGGGATTAAGCAGTGGGGACGGGGAGATGATGCTGGGTCTGCCTAATCATCTTTGTCTTTGGGCAGGAGCAATCCCATGAGGAGAGACAGCAAGCAGGGAGCCTCTGGCAGGAGGACCAGTGTGTTGGTCATGAGATGCCTTGGGCAAGCAAGCAGGGAAAAGGGGTTTGTGGGAGAGAAGAATGCTTAGGAAAGGCATAGGCATGAGGTGCTGGGTATTTTGGCAGAGCTAAAAGAGGTTGAGTGGAGGTGTTGCTGACCTGGTAGAAAGGCAGGCTGGCCGTTGCTGAAGTACAACATTCGGTTGATGTTCATGAGGCAGAAATAAATCCCCTCGTCCTGCTGTGTGAAAGACTTCACTACCAGCCGATAGAACCTGTTGTCTCTGCTGGCCTCGAAGCGTGTGGATGTTCTCTGATTCCCCTCAAAGGTGGGCCCAGATAGGGAAGAGAACAAGACAATGACGTGAAGGGTCCCATTCCTGTCCTGGCGGACCCAGAACATGTCACTGTCCTTGTCAGTCTGACACTCCAGTTCCAGCCGCTGTCCCAGCTGGACTTGAGTGATGCTGTCACGAAACCTGACGTTCATCTCATACCATGGCTCCAGGATGGCCATCTTATGGCCATGGATCCCAGGGCAGCCTGGAGGAGAAAAATCCTTGTTGGAACTGCTTGGGAAGAGCAAATGGTTCCTCTGGGAAAAATCTCCTGCCCTGTCCATGGGAGGAAAGTAAAACTGCAAAGGAGGACCATGGTGTCTGCATGACTGGAAGGTTTTGTTGTCCTTGCTGGGATCGTGCATGGAGGGTGCTCAGCAATCAGCCACGTGGACTTTACAGATGGTGCTGCCCTTCCAGCTGCCTTTCAGCGATCTTATCCCTTCCCAGCTTCTCTGCTGCTCCCTAAACCCAGTTACTGCTAAGTCCCCTTTTTTTCCTGACCTCCTTCCCTCCAGAACTCCTTGTCTGACCAGGCTGCCCTTCCCGGTGCTCGTGGCTGCCCTACACGAGCTGAGGCGATGCTGCCTTTCCTCTGCAATTCCTGAGCACGCCTCAAAGTCAGCCTTTTTGGTTTGCTCTTTTTCCCCCTTTAGCTATTTATCGGAATTTCTTGGATTCAGTGGAAGGGTTTTTCCTTGCTTCTCCCAGTGATGGGGCTGCACCACCCTGTGTCCATACTCACAGAGTCCCAGAGCGAGCAGGAGGAGCAGGGCAGGAGACCCGTCCATCTTCTGCTGGGGGTGTCTGTCCTTGGAGACGGTGCAGCGCAGCTGAGGTGATCTTTGTCACTTGACTTGGGAGGCTGGGTCACACTTTGGGGAGGATGTGATGTCATCAGGACCCTCTTGGGTAAAGAGATGATGCTCGGCATCTGTGGCAAAATGCAGGGAGAAAGAAAATTCTTGAAGAAATTCAGTTCTAGTCCTCAGTTGGAGTCATTTTTCCTTATCAGTTCTCAATGGTGCCTGAAGGAATTTGCCTCAGTGACTTCCCTAGATCTCCTGATGATGCTGCTCATGCCTGAGGTAGGATCAGGCACCCCAGCCTGCTGTCCCCCAGCCCTCTGGGGGTCCACAGCAGCTCCAGCTCCACAGAAGTCACGGACAAGTCCCATCCTATGGCCGAAGGCCCCAGGTTGAGTTTCTTGTGAGGGATTCTGCATCCTTCTCTTGAGCACACTCAGGGAGTCTCGTGTGCATGGCAGAGCCCAGAGTATTCTTGTACCCAGCAAGTGAGACACAGGTGTTCCATGGCACAGATCCGTGAGTATCTTTTATCTCCAGTGCACACATTCCTAGCACTCAGCCAGGTTCTTCAGGTGCTCGGCTGTTCTCTTTGCAATTGCTCAGGAAAAGATGTTTTGTGCAAGGTGGATGGTCAGTGAGCTGAACACAGAGTGCCCAAAGCCCAGGGGTATGATTTGCTTTTGCTTTCTTTTAACAACTCGTGGTTCTCTTCTCTAACCACAGGAGCCTCTGCCCTGCCAAGAAACCCTGGTATGCATCAGTGGAGAGGACCCTGGTGCTGCCTCTGGGTGACCACTGGCACACGGGTGATGCTTCCTGGAGCTTTACACATACAGACTTTCCTGTTGTTACTTTTTCTGTGGGTTTTTTGTTTGTTTGTTTTTGTTTGTTTGTTTTGTTTTTTGTTTTTTTAAACCCCTCCTTCACAAAGAAAGCCCCTGTTTCCTGAGTGTGTCAGAAAGCAGCTGCTGCTGATTTCAATGCCATTTGCTATTGGGGCTGCTACTCAGAGCTGAGTTATGGAAAATGGTTTAGGAACTGGGTTTATTTCTTTGGGCCTCACAGCATGTTAGTGAGTGAGGAAAGGTGCTGTTGGGCTGCTGAGATGTGTGAGGCTCTCTGGTGCTGTGTGATCTGTGCCCTGTGGAGAGTGGGTTGGAGGATCAGTGTGAAGATGCATTGAGGGAGGCAGGAGCCATCCCAGAGCCTCCTGGTTTGGCACTGGGCTGGGAATAGACCAGCTGTGTTCTGTGTTCCTGAACTACTGATCAAAAATCAGTAGATTCCCCCAGGCAGTGGATTTTGAGCTTACAACTTAGTGTTGTAATTATTTTCTTAGATGCTGATTTTCTGATCAAATGAAAACTACTGAAATAACAACAATCGAACCCCACAAAAAAAAGCAAAACAAAAAAACCAAACCCAAAGATATTCTGCTTTCAGTTCTTCCCTACATTCATCTGCAGCATCAGGAGGGCTTTGGCTGCATCGATCTTGCTGCAGGACTGCGGTCTGAGTGCAGAAATGCACAGTGGAGCATCACTATCAGTAATGTCAGCTAATAATGCCCAAATATATGTATTTAACATTGCTTAGAGTTTTGTTTTGCTCTGTTTATCCCACATTAGGATTCCATTCAGTAGCTAGAACTTTGTTGTACATTGGTTCATCTTGCTGAAATGCTTTTTGCTTTAAACACCCACGTCCTGTTTTTCCCTACAGGATTGACATCTATAGGCTCTCATTGCATTAGGTCTAGCAATAAACATTCAGTCTGTGGATCATGAAAGAATAATTTAATTTGAAAGTGTAACAAAGTTTACAGGGAGTGAAATACAGAAAAACACTGCTGCTTGGTATTCATTTCATTTTGTTTTGTGTCACAGTCCACATTCAGCTCCATTCAACGGAGAAAACACATTTTCAAGGAAATGCTTCCCAGGCATAATATGAGGCCTTTTGTGGGGAAACAGCCCCTGATGCCTGCAGTCAGATCACTGCACCTCCTTTCTACACAACCATTTGAAAGAGCTGGAGTGGGAAGGGAAGGGAAGGGAAGGTCAGTGTGGAAATGTGGAGAGGATTTGCTGGAAGATATGCAGACAGTGATTAATTTAACAGTGGTCCTTCTCCTCCCTTGCCTGTGTCCTGATTATCTGATGCCTCCCAGAGCAGATCACTGGGACATCCATGGCCCTGAGGGACAGGGCTGTGTTTTCAGGCCAGAGGTGGATCTAGAGGGGGTTGTGGTGAGTGTTGTGTTGACGCAGCACGATGGTGATCACCAGGAGCTGGAGGGTCAGGAGGCAGAGGCCTGTCAAGGGGATCCAGATGAAGATGTGACAGAAGGAATTCAGCTCTTCCTGCAATTTTCTCTCTGTAGGAATAGAGAAGGGGAAAGGTCCAGAAAGGTTCCCCTGGGCCTGCAGGGATGTTCTTCCTTAGTGCTGCTGCTCTCAGCATTTTCCTGGGACTCGGGGGAGGACACGTGGCCAAAAGTTTTCACATGTCTCCTGCCAAGGATAAAACCCCTCTCCCCACCTTCCCTGTGTGCCCAGGCATGAGACACACTCATGCTGTTTTCCTCATCCTTAGCCTTTCCTACTTGGGAGGAAAAATTGAAGTTTAATGCTTCCAGCTCTTATAAATCTCTATGGATTTTCACTCTCCCCCCATTCTAAAATGCTTTCAGGATCCCCCTATGTACCAGTGGGCCAGAGCCCAGCTCTTTTCCTCTCCTTCCCTACATCCCAGGTACCTGGATCTGGAGTCTTGATGCAGGGGTCCTTTTCAGTGATGCTATGCTGGGTGATGAGTCCTGGTGTGGTGGTGACTGTAAATGAAAATTCAGCAGGTAAGCAAATACAGTAAAACAGGTCTCTCCTGCCCTTTCTGCTCTCCCTGCCCTGCCAGGGTTTGTCTGCTCCTGTTCACAGCACAGGGCTCAGATCCACCTGGAATTCACAGAGCCCCTTTTGGATGGTGATTCCCCTAAGGAGGGTCTCCCAAGAGCCGGTAAGGAACGGCAGGGTTCTTATTTCTTTCTGTCTGCCACCATCCTCAGAAAGCCTGAGCACCCTGGGGTTGCTGGGCTTCTGGAGACCGATGTTTAGGGGAAAGGACAGGGTAGTGGTGGACTTAGCTTTCATCTTCTCCTGTCAGAGCCATGGATGGGATGGAGAAGTGGGGATGGGGAGATGATGCTGGGACTGCCCAATCATCTTTGCTTTAGGGCAGGAGCAGTACCATGAGGAGAGTGAGTGAGAAGTAAGCCTCTGGCAGGAGGATTAGTGGGTTGGTCCCAAGATGCCTTGGGAAGCAAGCAGAGTAATGGAGTTTGTGGGAGAAACAGCTGGATAAAAAAGGCACAGGGAGGAGGTGCTGGGTATTTTGGCAGAGCTAAGCAAGATTGTGTGGAGATGTTGCTGACCTGGTAGAAAGGCAGGCTGGCCATTGCTGAAGTACAGCATTTGGTTGATGTTCATGAGGCAGAAATAAATCCCCTCATCCTGCTGTGTGAAAGACTTCACTACCAACCGATAGAACTTCTTGTCTCTGCCGGCCTCGAAGCGTCTGGATGTTCTCTGATTCCCCTCAAAGGTGACTCGGGACACAGAAGAGATGAAGACAATGAAGTGAAGGGTCCCATTGCTGTCCTGGCGGACCCAGAATGCTCCACTATCCCTGTCAGTCTGACACTGCAGTTCCAGCCGCTGTCCCACCCGGAGCTGGGTGATGCTGTCACGAAACCTGACCTTCATCTGATACATCTGGCCACGGATCCCAGGGCAGCCTGGAGGAGAGAAATCCTTGTTGGAACTGCTTGGGAAGAGCAAATGGTCCCTCTGGAAAAAAATCTCCTGCCCTGTCCATGGGAGGGAAGTACAAATGCAAAGGGAGAACCACACTGTCAGGATGACTGGAAGGTTTTGTTGGAGTCCTTGCTGGGATTGTGCATGGAGGGTGCTCAGCAATCAGCCACGTGGGCTGTACAGATGGTGCTGCCCTTCCAGCTGCCTTTTTGGGGATGTTACTCCTCTCCAGCTTATCTGAAGTGACTCCCTAAAAACACTGTCTATGGGACACCTTTTCTCACCTTTCTCCCTTCCCTCCAGAATCACTCATCTGACCTGGCTCCCTTCCTGGTGCTTGTGCTGCTGCAGCCTCCCCTCTGGCTGCCCTACGCCGGCTGAGGTGATCCCGCCTTTCCCTCCACAGTTACTGAGCACATCTCAAAGTCAGCTTGTTTGGCTTCCTTCTCATCCCCATCCTCCTCTGCCCCCCACAGCCTTTAACTATTTATCCAATTTCTTGGATTCAGTGGAAGGTTTTTCCTTGCCCCTCTGAATGATGGGGCTGCACCACCCTTGTCCATACTCACAGAGTCCCAGAGCGAGCAGGAGGAGCAGGGCAGGAGACCCGTCCATCTTCTGCTGGGGGTGTCTGTCCTTGGAGACGGTGCAGTGCAACTGAGGTGATCTTTGTCATCTCGACTTGGGAGGCTGGGTCACACTTTGGGGAGGATGTGATGTCATCAGGACCCTCTTGGGTAAAGGGGTGATGCTCGGCATTTGCAGCAAAATGCAGTGGAAAATAAAATTTCTGAAGAAATTCTGTTTTAATCTAGAATTTGGGCTCATTTATCCTTATCAGTTCTTAATGGTGTCTCACAGAGTTTGCCTCAGTGAGTTCCCTAGAGATCTGCTGCTCATGCCTGAGGTAGGATCAGGTACCCTAGCCTGCTGTCCCCCAGCCCTCTGGGGGTCCACAGCAGCTCCAGCTCTGTAAAAGTCACAGACAAGTCCTATCCTTTGTCTGAAGGTCCCAGGTTGCATTTCCTGGCAGGGATTCTGCCTCCTTCTCTTGAGCACACTCAAGAGGTCTCATGTGGAAGGCAGAGCCCAGAGTATTCTCTTACCCAGTGAGACACAGATGGTTCATGGCATAGGTCCATGTGTATCATTTATCTCCAAGGACCAGCTTTGCTGGCACATAGCTGGGTTCTTCATTTGCTGGATTGTTCTCTTTGCAATTCCTCTTTGGTCAATTCTTCTTTGCATTTACTCAGGGAAAGCTCCTTTTGTGCAAGGCAGGTGGTCTGTGAACAGAAACCCACCAGAATGCCCAGTGCCCAAGGGTGAGCTTTGCTTTTTCTTTTTTTTTTGTTTTAACAGCTTGTGGTTCTCTTCTCTAACCACAGGAGCTTCCGCCCTGCCCCAAAACCCCTTGTCTGCTTCACCAGAGAGGGCCCTTTCTGCTGCCTCTGGGTGACCATTTGCACATGGGGATGGGTGATGCTTCCTGGAGCTTGCAGATCTGAATAAACAGAATTTACTGCAGTCAATCAACATATTCATAAATAATCAACATGTTAAAAGTCCTGTTATTGTTAACCAAGACAATTGACAGAGACTACTTTTGTTACCCCTCAACCATTTCTTTCCGAAACAAACAAATCCCACCTTCCTTGCTCGGGCCAAATTCCTGCTGAAATCGGTGGAAGTGGGGGTAGCAGCAGAAGAGGGATAGCATGAGGGAAACAAAACATTACGCACAGAACTGTAAAAACACAAGAAGTAAGGCCCTTTAATCCAGATTTACATTCTCAGTGCAGCCTTGTAATACCTTAGATGAAACAGTAAAAACCTTAAGAGAGAGGTGGCACCACAGATAGAGGATGTGTTGAGTGAGAGCATTTATTTCCGAGTCACTTTGTAGCGAATTCAAAGCCTGGCTGCGTTTTAGAAAGAAGTAGCACACGCCCTTGAGTAGAGATTGAACTCATATCCTTTATTCCTCATCTGCTTGTCACTAAAGTCTGTCAGCATCAGGATTGACCTGGTTCCTCTGCCTGAACCCTGTCACTGGGAGCAGAGACGATGTTTGGCCTTGGGAATCGGTTTGAAAAGCTCCGGCTTTGGAAGGAGCTGTGCCTTAGGGTGCAGTTCCCAGAAACAGTGCTGCTTGTTGTCTGGGTGTCTGAGCTCCCTCTTGTCTCCTCAAATTCGCCAGGGCAGAGTGCAGGAGGTGCAGTCACGGTGTAGAGAAGGCAGGAGATGTGTTTATGTGCTGACAGCTCCCAGGAGATGATCCAGAAGCCCAAAGGTGTGGATGCTGCAACGTGTCAGTTTGTTGTGCCGGGTTTGGTGTGGGGCTTCCCCTGCACAGGCCTAGAGAGAGAAAAGGGGTTTGATTTACTTTGATGGGAAAGGAAGAGAAGGACAATTAATGCCTGATGAGCTGATGATCTTGTTTAGCCTTGGTCTGCAGCCAGGGAGCTGCAAGAGCAGGCTGCAAAATGTTCCTAAATCCTCTTTGTGCTGGTGAAGGATCTGGCAACATTTCAGGTAGTGACAGCCAGCAGAAGGATGTTCTGAAGACACACTGCTAATCAATTCTTACAGTAATTAAAAAAAGGTGTTTTTTTAAATTTACCTCTGACTTCTGCTCACTCCTGTCCTCTCATCAACCCTTTCTCCACATTCAGAAATGAATGAATAAAGAAGACCTCGGGGTTTTTTTGGAGTTGGACAAGTTGTTATCAATTCCTAGAGACTTTTTCTTATTGCAACCAGTTTCCTGCAGAAGAGCTTGAAAGGAGGCTTTCTAGACAGGCAGAGTGCACTCAAAATGATAGAAACTACTGGTCTCCAGGACCTGAGAGTTTTATGCTGATCTAACAAGTTGGAGATTTGGCACCCTTCTTTACTAAAGATCAATTTGTGGTAGAAAATGAATCCCTCTGCTGCCAGCAAGAAACCCAGGACAGATCCTGAGGTGCTCTTTCCTGCAGTGTATTGCACTATTAACTTCTAAAGAGCTTCATTTCAATAATTGGGAGTTGCTCAGAGCAGCAGAAATTTCCTCTCTAAATAAAAACTGAAATATGCTACAGTTTCTTAAACCATGTCATGTTAGTGCAGCTGAAGGAAAGCTGTCCTTGAGGAGATGATTTCCCGAGGTCCTTGTAACAAAACCGCTCCGTCGGTTGAAAACTGAAGGAGCTGGGCAGGTGTTTTTTCTCTGTAGAGACAGAACATCCCTGTCCAGGGCTGGCAACAGGGCTTGAGATAAGTGAAGAATGCAAACATCATTCTAAACAAGGCAGCAGGGAGAGCTTTTCATTATCATTTCTCCCTTGGAAAGGCAGACAAGGATCAAAAGAGTGCTGCGTATAACAAATATCCATTGTAAAACTGACAGACTGTTCCCTTTTTCAGAGGGGGAAAAAAATGCATTCTGTCTTAAAAACAAAATAAAAAAATTGGAGGGCTCTACTACCGTAGGGGAGGGTGGGCTTTTTCTGAGTAATTGTGTTAATTTGGACAACTGAAAGAGAATTATCTTTCTCACTATAAGCCCCATGGATGTATAACAAAGAAGCTGAATTTCTCTGATTGAAAAGATGCTTTGATTTGCAAAGAATGAGGCTCCAGAGCTGTGAAAGTGCTGCCCCAAACTTTCTTGGCAACCCAGCTTTTCCAAGCACCAAGCCCAGCACCGGCTGCCAGGAGCAGCAGCAATGATTTCCTGGTGGGTCTCTGGCCACAAGCCCCAGGGTGCCCAAGGCTTGCAGAGCTGCAGACGTGGTTTCCAGGTTTCCTGCTGCAGGGAGGTCACTTTGCAGAAGCGAAATGCATGTGCCAGTAATTTGAATTTCTTAATCATAAAAAACAAAACAAAACAACAACAACAACAACAAAAAAAAACAAAAACAAAACAACAACAACAACAAAAAACAAACAAACAAACAAAAAAACCACAACCAAAACTGCAAACAAATCCAAAAACACAGGACAAGAGAACCTTCCGTCTCGTTTTTGCCCTTAAGTCATTACACAGACCCCTCCCATCCACCGGCTATCGGATGAAGAATTTTTAGGTTGCTTTTGGGCACCTTCCTGCTTTGTTGCCTGAGGGTGCCAAGTTTAAGAGAAAATTCGTGATACCTGTCACTTACTAACCTTTCACACCTGCGCCTTCTGTCTTCCGGTTTCTACAATAAGAAAGAAAATGTTTTAGTTCAAAGGTTCCAAGTCACAGCTCAGTAAAGAAACACTGCAGAGAGGTGGGTCTGTTGCTCCCCGGCAGCTGATGCCTTTAAAATTAACCAGGGATGATAAACCAAGTTTATTTTTGAGGAAATCCCTGCCAGGGAGTGGTGCTGCAGTTCGTGTTGCCTCAGTATTCCACTTAAGCATTTTGGTGAATTTTAAAGGGTGGGGTGAGTAGCAGTAGCAGGGTCAGCCTGAGAACCCTGAGGGTGAATTATTTCTGCTGACTTTGGCACGTTGCTGAGAATCCCTTGGCAGCAACTTTTTCTCCAAGAGGTGAGTAGCAGTGGTGCCACTCCACATGCAACCAAGTTGAACGATGCTCTTCCCTATTTTAGAGTCTGTTGTTACTTTGGGATGTATTCAGCAAAATACAATGTTCTGCCAACAATTTGAGCCCAAGGTAGTCATCTGTCCTGTAGGGCTCAGGCTGCTGCAGAAATTCAGTGCACCCGATGGCTTTTCACTGATCATTTTACATCAGTGTTAAAAGGCAGAAATAAATCACTGAGTGGTGTTTGCAGGTTAACAGTGTTGCAGGTCACCAGGAAAAGCCACTGTACGTGGAGAGCTCTTGGCTCCTGATGACTTCAGAGGGAATTTGGACCAAGTCCAGGCACTCTGCTGCATCATCAGCTACTTCCCTCAAGGAGAATGATTTTTGGCTGAGTCTCCCTAATGCTTTTTCATGTATTCCTTCCTATCTCTGCAGAGTGTGGAGATTAGTATTTTTCAGGGCTGAAGAATGCTGAAAAATGGTCCTTTTTTTTAGCTGGGGCAGCTGGTAAATCCATCTGGCATCAGCTCCAGGCTGCAGGGTCAGGGAGGATCTAGTTAGGTTAATTCAGCAGCAGAACTGCTGGTGTTCAGGCAAATGAGCAGAGCTGGATTAATGAAGTCGTAACTTCTGGGGTTACTGGAGAGTTGAACTGATTTCAGCGAGCTAAATTGAGTTAAATCCATTGGCACTCACTGCTTGCTCAGGGTAGTTTAACTTCCCTTCAAACACCAAATTTCACCAAAGGACTTTTGCTGACCCAGAGATTTTGCATTCCTGCTTAAACTGTGGCAGTCTCTGAACCTGTGTAATGAAGTTCCTCTTTTGGTTACAGCTCAAACTGCTACTGTGGGGTCTCAGCATGTGCTGGAGCATATTTACCCTGATGGGTCAGAATGGTTCAGGCCCTGGTACCTTCATCCCTGACACACCAATTTCAGGATGGTAGAGCCAAGACAGTTCATAGAGTAAGTTCTGTCCATTTCTAATCAATTGTTCTTCCTGTAAGGTTTTTTTCAACCTAAACACATTTCTCATTCTATGGTTCTAAGTTGTTAATTATTTTTCAGCCTAAGCCTTTCCTGATGAGGAAAGTACAGACAGTGGTTTTAACAGTAGCCCTTCTCTTGCATTCACTGTGTCCTGCTTATCTGGTATCTCACAAAGCGGGCAGAACATCCATCCCTCTGAGGGACAGGGCTGTGGTTTGAGGCCAGAGGTGCATCCACAGGGACTGTGGTGAGTCTTACTTCGACACTGCAGGATGGTGATGGCCAGGGCGGTGAGGAGCAGGAGGCAGGCGCCTGCCGAGGGAACCCCGATGACACCATCACAGGAGAACTTCAGCTCCTTCTCCGTGCTGGACTCTGAAGGAATAGAGAAGGGCAAAGGTCAAAAAAAGCACAGAAATGTTAAGTTTGTAAAAGACCTCCAAGATCATTGAGTCCAACCTTTGAGCAGGAATGGAGAAGGGGAAAGGTCCAGCAGGTGCTCACTGGTGGTGTCAGGGCCAGTTCTGGTGGAGCCAGAGCTGCCAAGGGCCCCGCATGGTGTGCCATGAGGCTGGTGGTGAGGCCAGAGGGCTTCCCCTGGGCTGCTGCTCTCACCATTTTCCAGAGACTTGAGGGAGGACAGGTAGCCAGAAATTTTCTCTTTTCCCTGATGAGGCTAAAAACAATCCCCAGCCCCCAAGGCACTGCCCTCCCTCCCTCTCTTCTGGGTGTGCCCAGGCATGAGACACGCTCATGCTTTTTACCTCATCCTTAGCCTTTCCTACGTGGGATGAAACACTGGAGTTTAATCCTTCCAACTCTGATAATGCTCTGTGGATTTTCACTCTCCTCCCACCCCAAAATGCCTGCAGGTGTCAGTGGTACCAGTGGGCCAGAACCCATCTCCCCCCTCTCCCCTACCTCCCTGCATCCAAGCTACCTGGATCCGGGGTCTGGATGTAGGAGTCATTTCCACTGATACGAGGCTGAGTGGAGGGTCCTGGTGTGGTGCTGACTAAAAGTGAAAATTGAAGAATTCAGCAAGTAGCAAAATGCAGTAAAACAGGCTTCTCCTACCTTCTGTTCTCCCACCCCTGCCCAGCGTACAGATGTTCCTGCACACACATTAGGGCTTCATAGAGCCCCTTTTGGATGGGGATTCCCCCAAGGAGGGTCTCCCAAGAGCCAGTAAGGAGCTGTAGGCTCCTTATGTCTTTCTGTCTGCCACCATCCTCAGAAAGGCTGAACACTCTGAGATTTGGGATCTAGGTGAGGTGAGGAAGGAGGGGGTAGTGCTGGACTTTGCTTTAGTCTTCTGGCTTTCAGAGCCATTGATGGGACTGAAAAGTGGGGACAGGGAGATGATGCTGGGTCTGCCTAATCATCTTTGCCTTTGGGCAGGAGCAATCCCATGAGGAGCCAGGGCAAGCAGGGAGCCTCTGGCCAGGAGGACCAGTGTGTTGGTCACGAGATGCCTTGGGCAAGCAAGCAGGGAAAAGGGGTTTGTGGGAGAGAAGAATGCTTAAGAACGGCACAGGCAGGAGGTGCTGGGTATTTTAGCAGAGCTCAGAGAGGTTGGATGGAGGTGTTGCTGACCTGGTAGAAAGGCAGGCTGGCCATTGCTGAAGTACAGCATTTGGTTGATGTTCATGAGGCAGAAATAAATCCCCTCATCCTGCTGTGTGAAAGACTTCACTACCAACCGATAGAACCTGTTGTCTCTGCCGGCCTCGAAGCGTGTGGATTGTCTTTGACTCCCCTTGAAGGTGACTCGGGACACAGAAGAGATGAAGACAATGAAGTGAAGGGTCCCACTGCTGTCCTGGCGGACCCAGAATGCTCCTCTATCCCCGTCAGTCTGACACTCCAGTTCCAGCCGCTGTCCCACCCGGAGCTGGGTGATGCTGTCACGAAACCTGACCTTCATCTGATACATCCGGCCACGGATCCCAGGGCAGCCTGGAGGGGAGAAATCCTTGTTGGAACTGCTTGGGAAAAGCCAATGGGCCCTCTGAGAAAATCTGCTTTCCTGTTCTCAGACTGTGAGGTCAAGGGCAAAGGAGGACCATGGTGTCTGGATGACTGGAAGGTTTTGTTGGAGTCCTTGCTGGGATTGTGCATGGAGGGTGCTCAGCAATCAGCCATGTGGGCTGTACAGATGGTGTTGCCCTTCCAGCTGCCTTCTCAGGGACATTACCCCTTCCCAACTTCTCTGAAGGGGCTCCCTAAAGCACCAACTGCTAAACCCTCTTTATTCCCCCCTTCTCCGTTCCCTCCAGAACCACTCATCTGACCAGGCTCCCTTCCTGGTGCTTGTGCTGCTGCAACCACCCCTCTGGCTGCCCTGTGCCAGCTGAGGCAATACTGCCTTTCTCTCCACAGTTACTGAGCACATCTCAAAGTCAGCCTTTTTGATTTGCTCTTTTCCACTCTTTAACTATTTATCCAATTTCTTGGATTCAGTGGAAGGTTTTTCCTTGCCCCTCTGAGTGATGGGGCTGCACCACCCTTGTCCATACTCACAGAGTCCCAGAGCGAGCAGGAGGAGCAGGGCAGGAGACCCGTCCATCTTCTGCTGGGGGTGTCTGTCCTTGGAGAAGGTGCAGCGCAGCTGAGACGATGTTTCTATCTCAACTTGGGAGACTGGGTCACACTTTTGGAGAGGATGTGATGTCATCAGGACCCTCTTGGGTAAAGAGATGATGCTCGGCATCTGCGGCGAAATGCAGCGGAAAAAATCCTGAACACATTCAGTTCTAGTCCTCAGTCTGGCTTATTTTTCCTGAACATTTCTGAATGGTGTCTCAAGGCTTTTGCCTTGATGTCTTCCCTAGAGACCCAGAGTGCTGCTGCTCATGCCTGAGGTAGGATCAGGCACCCCAGCCCGCTGTCCCCCAGCCCTCTGAGGGTCCACAGCAGCTCCAGCTCCACAGAAGTCACCGACAAGCTTCGTGCTTTGGCTGAAGGTCCCAGGTTGGGTTTCTTGGCAGGGACTCTGCCTCCTTCTCTTGAGCACACTCAAGGGGTCTTGTGTGGATGGCAGAGCCCAGAGCATTTTCTTACCCAGCAAGTGACAGATGTTTCATGGTATAGATCCATGTGTCTCATTTATCTCCAAGTACACACGTTCCTGACACACAGCTGAGATCTTCTTTCGCTGAATTGTTCTCTTTGCAGTTCTTCTTTGGTCATTTCTTCTTTGTATTTGCTCTGAAAAGCTGCTTTGTGCAAGGCAGGTGGTCTGTCAGCTGAGCACACTGAGAGTGCCCGATGCCCAGGGGGATGATTTCCTTTTAATTTTGTTTCAACAACTTGTGTTTCTCCCCTGTAACCACAGGGGCTTCCGCCCTGCCAAGAAAACCCCTTGTATGTGTCACTGGAGGGGGCCCTTGCTGCTGCCTCTGGGTGACCATTTGCACATGGGGGTGGGTGATGCTTCCTGGAGCTCTGCACACACGGTAACAACAGCTTCATCAGACTGTGAGGGGCTGGGCCGGTATTTGATTTACTCCTTTCTTCCTTGCTTTCCTGATTACTGTTTTTGTGTGAGGTTTGTTTTCTATTAGTCCTTTGCAAAGGAGCTCCTCTATTTTCCCTGGTCTGTCAGAAAGCAGGTGCTGCTGGCTTCAGTTCCACTGGCAAGTGGGGCTGGTGCTCAGAGCTGAGCTATGGAAAATGGTTTAGGAACTGGGTTTTCCGGAGTGGGCATCAAAGCATGTTGGTGAGTGAGGAAAGGTGCTGTCAGGCTGCTGGGTTGTGTGAAGTTCACCCTTTCACAGGGCTGTGGTAGTTGTGATGGGTCCCTTAAATAGAGCAGGTTTTGACAAAACAAAGAGAAAATACGTTTCATCAGTTAAACAGCATTACAAGGATCTGGATCTCAAAATCCTGTCAAGCAAATGTGAACACCAGACTGGAGCTCAGTGTCAGCTGTCAGAGTGCTCCAGCCACCTCTGGATGAGACATCAAGTGATGCCACTTGTATCACCTCTGCCTGGTTCTCTACTTGTAAATGGAAAACTTAACGTCTCTTGGAAGTGTCTGCCCATGAGGTGTTGCTCTTTTCTGGGGCATTCTGAGGCATTCTGGGGCAACATGAATCTCAGGGCAGTGACCTAAAAAAGTAAATGTTTATTTTGGTGCATGCTCCAAGCTGCCTGTTCTGGTCACCTCAGCCTTCTGACCTTCTGCCAGCGGTGGCTGTGCTGGTTGTGTAGCAAAGGCAGAATCACAGAGGTTCAGTGCAGAGTACTGGGTGTATTTCTAATACCTACTTAAATTGCAGGGCTTCAGAAATAGAAAAGCCCATGTAAGAAGAGACATGGCCCTGAGTATCTTGAGATGCACAGCAGTCCAGGAACACGTAGTATCTCTCAGAAAATCCTCAGGTGGAGAGCAGCAAAGGCTTTTAAATTGAATTCCTTTAAGGATTCCTTCTAACTCAGGGCATCTGTTACAGTGGGAGGGAGGAGTAATATTTCTACTGACACTTTATATGGAATTTGAATCTGCAGTTTGGGTGTTACATCCCTTTGGTCACTGACAGATTAAAGAACCAAAATCAGAGACCACCAAGATCTGTGTGTTAGAGATGCAAAGGCAGAAACGACGATAAAGAACTGAAGGTGATGCCTGGCAGTTGTTTAGCAAGTAAGAAGATGAAAGGTGCTGACAGAGAGTTCAGTGAACATTCCTGTATTTTCAGTAACATGGTGATACCCAACAAACCCACCCTCTGAAGAGGGAATGTGCCATGCAGGCAGTGCTATTGCAGTTGCAGGGCCAGTCCTTTCCTTGCAGTGCTGAGAGTGCTGGGAGCTGTCTGGGTTCATGGATTTGTGATTGCAGGCTCCAGTTATGTTCAGAGATGAGCTTGATCTCATGGGAGAGAGAGACAAGGTATGAGCTGTTCATCTGTAGGTTAGACCCTTGCTACTCCCCAGCTGAGCACCTGGGGTTTGAGTGGAGCCCCCTTAATAGATTGAAGGTGTCTTAGTGCTTCACATCATTGCCTGTGAATTCACAGACATTTCCAAGTTGAGGCTTTTCTGTGAATCTTTTCTTTAGGTGTGTGTAGATCCATGCAGTTTTCATTTAGTATCGTCCTGCTATTGTTTAGATATACTTATCCAGTCCCTAATTTAATTTTTTTTTAAATTAAGCATTACACTCAAGTCAGTTTGGAAGAACTTCTCTCTGTTTCCCTCCTTCCCAGCTTGTTTGCAGAGGAGGAGACTGTCAAAGAGTTTCTTTCCTTCTGCTTTTCCCAGGTTTTTATCAGTCCCGTGACAAGAATACCAGAATACCCTGAGAATCTTTATCTCATCCACTTTCAAAGCACCTTCCTGGGATGGAGGAGTGTTCCTGGGCCCATCAGCTAATCCCTGGGAAGATCCCTTGAGATGATTTTAGGCTGTGGTAAGCTGGAAGCTGAACTCTGGCATCCTGAGTCTCAGGCTGGTGTATAAATCACTGGCTTTTCCTTCATCCAAAACCTTTTCAAACTCTCATTTGGTATTTTCGTGAAGGATTTTAACATTTCTGAGGCTAGGAGCTAAAGCAAGAAATACACTTCATTGAATCTGACTAGAATGATTTTATTTGCTATCTCAGTTCTTGATTTGCAACTGTAAGAAGGAAATATTTACATCAAACACGGATCAGAAAAAAGAAGAATTTAACTATAGTCAACCAACATGTCCCCAAAAAATCAGCATCCTAAATGTTCCACTTAACCAAAGCAAGTGACAAACACCTCTTTTTTCTTTCAGGAAGAAAGCAAATCCCACCTTCCTTGCTCAGGCCAAATTCCTGCTGAAATTGGTGGAGGTGGGGGTAGCAGCAGAAGAGGGATAGCATGAGGGAAAACCTTAGCCCCCAGGACTGTAAAAACCTAAAAAATAAGGTCCTTTAATCCATATTTACATTCTCAGTGCAGCCTTGTATTACAGTAGATGAAACAGTAAAAACCCTGGGAGAGCGTGGCACCACAGACAGAGGATGTGTTGAGTGAGAGCTCCCTCTTGTCTCCTCAACTTTGCCAGGGCAGAGTGCAGGAGGTGCAGTCACGCTGTAGAGAAGGCAGGAGATGTGTTTATGTGCTGACAGCTCCCAGGAGATGATCCAGAAGCCCAAAGGTGTGGATGCTGCAACGTGTCAGTTTGTTGTGCCGGGTTTGGTGTGGGGCTTCCCCTGCACAGGCCTAGAGAGAGAAAAGGGGTTTGATTTACTTTGATGGGAAAGGAAGAGAAGGGCAATTAATGCCTGATGAGCTGATGATCTTGTTTAGCCTTGGTCTGCAGCCAGGGAGCTGCAAGAGCAGGCTGCACAATGTTCCTAAATCCTCTTTGTGCTGGTGAAGGATCTGGCAACATTTCATGTAGTGACAGCCAGCAGAAGGATGTTCTTAAGACACACTGCTAATCAATTCTTACATTAATTAAGAAAAGGGGGCTTTTTAAATTTGTCTCTGACTTCTATTGTAACCCGACCACTCCACCTGTACAAAATTGCAGAGCTCTGCAGGTGTTTTTTCTCTGTAGGAACAGAACATCCTTGCACAGGGCTGGCAACGGGGATTGAGATAAGTGAAGAATGCAAACATTGTCCTAAGCAAGGCTGCCTGAAGAGCTCTTTGTTGTCATTTCTCCCTTGGAAAGGCAGACAAGAATCAGAAGAGCACTGGCTATAATAAATATCCGCCATAACAACGACAGCCTGTTCCCTTTTTCAGACAGGTAAAAAAAATGCCTTCTGCCTTAAAAAAAATTACCTTTCTTACTATAAGCCCCATGGATGTATAACAAAGAACATGATTTTATCTGATTGAAAAGATGCTTTGATTTGCAAAGAATGAGGCTTCAGAGCTATGAATGTGCTGTCCCAAACTTTCTTGGCAACCCAGCTTTTCCAAGCACCAAGCCCAGCACTGGCTGCCAGGAGCAGCAGCAATGATTTCCTGGTGGGTCTCTGGCCACAAGCCCCAGGGTGCCCAAGGTTTGCAGAGCTGCAGACGTGGTTTCCTGCAGAGCAGGGGAGGTGAAGAAAGCGGCTGCAGGGAGGTCAATTTGCAGAAGCAAAATGCATGTGGGCAAAAGCATTTCTTCTTCCAAACCGGCACGCTGCAATTCTCCTTGGGATGGTGTTCTCCTTGTGACTCAGGATGATGGGTGGGTTGGGGTGGCAGGAGGGAAAACATAAAAAAAATGCTCCTGAGTGCATAGAAATTGGGTTACTTTTAAATCTATTCCTGTCTGCAGTGTTGTTCCTCAGGAAAGTCATCCAAGTTTGCAGCAGCCTCTCTGCTGCTGTTCCTTAGTGCCTGTAAGGGAAATAGAGGCCTGAAAAGCCGTGATGATGTCAGTCCAAAATGGCTCAGAGGGGGATTTGGGATGCAATAACTTGCATCTAATCCATGGGCACACCTGAATGTCCAGTGATGAAATCAAGTGAATGGTTTGGGGAGGGTAAGGAATGCAAAACAGTCACCCCCAGGCTCAGGTTTGGAGTGGTGCATTGGGAGCACAGAAATGGGGTTAGTTATGAGCATTATGTGATGTGCAAAGTTTT